TAAGATTAAGCTTTCACTTTTAATACATACATTTTAATATACACAACAGTGCGATTTACAATAACAATTATTACAAATAGTTATTACAAACAATGATTTATAAATGAAAGTTTCGCAAATTTACAAACAATACTCTTCTTTCTAGTCTGGATCTTTTATGTTATGGGGGGGGGGGCACGATAAGCTAGTTAATTACGAGTTGATGTAGGTACGATGCAAGATAGCTAGCTAGCTTTGTCCTCTGTTATTTACTAGACACACACGTCGATACTTTTCCTACCCGTAACGTTAGGTAATGTTTTCGTAAAAATACTAGTGTGAGATGAGAATCCACTGAAGTTAAATGATTTATGTTCCAACTTTGTAAAGGTCCCTAGTCAAAAATCTTAAGTTTTTTTGATTGATAAGCGTTATAACAATCGGTTATAGTTTCCGAAGTTTATAGCACACTGACTATAGCGAACTAATAATAGGTAGTCTATTTGGCGCGTCGCGTTGTTTATATTTATAGCCATGTGGAGGCGTTCTAGAAATTTCAGATTTTTATAACAATACTGATCTACATTTAAGCTTTTAGGTATATACAAATATTGTTGATTCTTACTCTCGATATTCTACAACTTTGGAGAATAGGCGGGAGTTTCGCAATACATATTTAACACTAAGCTATACATGTTTTAAAATAAACTTAATCTAAACAAATGTTTATTAAAATAAATATATAATAAATTCGTTACACAGGATGGATTATTTAGGCTGATTTTGTGACAAGGCTTGGGTTTTCAGTGTCGTATACAAATACAAGATAATGGGCCGATGTAGGATGTAGCGAGATAGCTTGATTTGAGGCTGAAGTTAAAAGTTGCACGCAATCATTGAGTGAACAATGTACTAACATTTTAACAATCATTCTTGAAATGAGTAATTGTTAACAATGCTGTGAAAATCGAATTTACTAAATACACAATAACTATGACGGAATTGGACAGGGTAGAGGATTGATAAAATACAATTATTTTACATGCTCAGGAAATTGCACAATTTTTGGACCTTTAACGAATTTCTGGGTAGTGAGATGGTGTTACGTTTAATTGAACCTCATGGTCATTTTGCAAATTACGTCTTTGGTCAGGTTGAAAAAAGTAATTCTACACTTATGGAATTCGAGGATGGAGGTAGTCTTGATTTATTATGTAATTAGATAACTGCCAATACTGTCAGTTCCGAACATAATGTTTGATTGGGGGAGGGTTCTAATTTGTAAGGTCCAAAGCATGCTAATGCTCCTGGGGTGTGGGGAAAATTAGTAAAAAAAAGTGTTGAGATTAAATCTGGAAACATTTTTGCACATTTGTTGTTGAAATTTATAGAAAATTTTTTTATAGAAAACATTAAATACCATAAGCAGCTTCGCTATAACTATCTAATCAAAA